CCCCTTGCACACCTGTCGATCGAGCATAATTGATAGGCTTGAAGTAGATGTTGAAGGGCAGCTTCTTGTCAGGAGGCTGCAAAGTGTACCCTCGCCACTCGTTGCAAGGAGAGGAGATGATGCCTCGGGTAGGAGGTCTGCATCAGCTTCTGTGCCAGCTACTTTATGCGTCCAAGAAGCAAGATACCCAAATGGTCAGGCCGAAGACCATTGCCTTCAAAACGTTACTGGACATCCATGCACACCGGATCCCGGCCGATGCCTGCAGATTCCCTCGCCTTGTGAGTGAAGGTACTCGGGGCGATGGTGTCTTGCAGATAAGTATTGGCCAATCCACGCGCCCAGCCATAGATGATGTCGCGGGCGACAGTGGGGATCTGGCAGGCGCATACGTCGCAGCTCTAGACCCTGAAGCCCTGAAATCAGTTCTTCCAGGCAATCCTTTTTTGTTGCTGGGGCTGGCACGTAGGCTTGGTACAGCAGTGATGCCTTGATTTCCCAGCCCATGCTCTTGCGGAATCGGTAGTTGGTCACCTCACAACTTGAAGTTCACATTTTGCACCCTATATACATCTTGCCATCAAGCTCTGGACTGGGAGCATGATGGTGCAGAACAGCCAGCCACTGATCAAGCCGCCTGAGAGCGCAAGGAATCAAGCATTCTGTTTGCTAGCTTGCCAGAAGCATGCCGGGGGTACTAACTCCCGGTGACAGGTCTGTGAACATCATTGCCCTGTTGATGATCTCGAAGACAGGGAACTTCAGCCTTTAAAGTCCAAGCGCAACGCGAAGCCACTTGATCACTTGTGATTGAGCGCTCTAGATTCTAGATGCAGCTTGGCGGCATGTTCGTGGGGAAGGTGGTCAGGAAGAAGTTGGCAACTAGGCTGAAGGTGACTTCGCTATAGGCCTGCCGACTGCCCACTCCACCGTCTGTCAACATCAAGCCCCGCCGATTTGCTGGCCTGGGCCACGGTCATTCGCTTCACGAGGAGGCGGTTCACCTGTTGTTGCGCAGGTAGCGGTGTGTTGCAGGCTGAAGGCACATTGCGGCCGTGTGACCAGCGGCTCGCACATGGCTGACAGGATTGCGGCCACAAGGGCTGCCTCACTGCGCAAACACGGCCAAGCGCGGCAAGCATCGCAAGCATCGCAAGCAGCGCAAGCAGCGCAAGCAGCGCGAGAGCTCTGAGCTTGGAGTCCAAGTGGCCGTGACTCCCTGCGCAGCTGCCGCGAAGACCTTCGCCCGACAAAGGATGGAAAGCTTGCGGTGAAGCCTGCGCTGAAAATCGCTGAAAACTTCATGGCCCAGCCTTCGTGAAGAAGCCTCCTTCATCCTGGGGCGCATCATCAGCCACCACCAGCGCCAAATCGCGTGGCAGCGTGCCAGTCGAGGTCCACAGGTCCCTCAGCAACAGGACGCCATAGGAT